ATTCCGTTGCTTTTATGGACTCATTATCTATGGGCTTCTCCCTTGACGGGACGTCCCCCCGATTGCCTGCAAACATCTCCTCCTGTCTGTACGGTAATTTCTGTACAGCGCGACAGAGAGTCGAGTGGTTATGACGCAATTGTTAGCCTATTTTTACAAAAACTGTTTCTACGGGGCCATAATGTAACATAGAAGGTAATGGAGACCTTTATACATTGTCGTGTTTCTTTAGAAATAAATAATGGACAAATGAAGTCTTTAAACGCCTCAGATGTAAAGTTATTCGCTGTCAAAGTGACGCCAAAATGAATGGGAGTCAATGGAAATGCTAACGCAAGTGAAGTTCTGCTACAAGATGGCGGCACCCGGCCAGCTTCAACTTGCGGTCGATGGATTACCCCCTTGGTAAAACGCAGCGCTCATCACTGTCACTTTTTAACCAGCCGTCCAATCACAGTGGAGGAGGGGCGGGACTAATACCACACCGACCAACTGTCACAACATTTTCTGTACAACGACAACCAGCAGAGCTAACCGAACAAAATGGATGAAAAATACATTTTTAGTATGATGACACAAATTATCTGCGAAATCAGTTACAAGTAAACTGTGCTGGGGATATTCTGTATCATAGCAACGAAGTGTCTCAACTGAAATAACGCTGCGCTGCCAAAACGCTCTCAAGCGCCCACAGCTAGGCGTTTTCAGCAGAGCGTCTAGCGTTTTCAGCTGGCTAAAAACGCTTTGGTGGACACACGGCCTTAACATAAAATGACCTCAACTCAGATACATTGTATAATAAAACCCAAACTGAGCACTAAAATTAGACACATAAAATTAATTCAACAAATCTCTTGCTGTTTAGTTAGCAATAACCCACATTATAGCATGCTAAACTTTCATGCAAAAGCTCCACTCTTTAGCACAATAGTAACCTCAGAGACATAACTGGAACTCTTCTAAACTCACAAATACTAGAACATTAAAAACTAACAAATCCTCTATTTTTATTCTTTCTCAAAAACACACATTTCATTTCAATATTTACTCTCCCAATCCACTTTCAGTTAGCGCAACATTATTAATGTTGTTCCAGCACAAATGAATTAACTGCCCTTTTTCATATTTAAAGGGATGGTGCACCCAAAAAAATTAGATTCTGTCATCATATACTCACCCTCGTGGTTTTCCAACCCGATCTCACGACCAATTCGTCCGAATTTGACGAGTGATTAAAAGATGGCTAATTCGTAACAATTCGTACGACCTCACTCGTACGAATTAGTACGATTTTTGCTAAAACGTACATATTTGACGAGTTGCCCAATTCGTATGAATTCGTACGAATGACCTACCCCTGACCCCGCCCCTAAACCTACCCATCACGTGGGTTTAGACAAATCGTACAAATTCGTACGAATGAGGTCGTACGAATTCGTACGAATTAGCCATCTTTTAATCACTCGTCAAATTCGGACGAATTGGTCGTGAGATAGCGTTGGGTTTCCCGAACTTGAGTTTCTTTCTTCTGCAGGACAAAAAAAAAAATATATATATTTTGAGGAATGTTGTTAATCAGTTTGGATTCCTATTGACTTGCATTGTATTTTTGCCCATACACTGGAAGTAAGTGGGAACTGAAAGTGTTACCAACATTCCTCAACATATCTTCTTTTTTCTTTCACAGATGATTTCTTTCACAGCTCATTTTAATTAAGTAAACTGAACAAGGAGCAAAAACTATTTAGTTAAGTGTAAAACGGGCAAAACTTTTCTGACCTTACAGCCATGCAGGACAGATGCAGCACGACAGATTGCTGGGGAATGTGAGGCATATTTTAAAAGAGGAAAGCGTAGCGAGAGAGAAGGAGAAGGACCACGGCCCCTCCAGCCCTAGAGAGAGCAGAAAACAGGACAAGGTTAATGTACTATGACAGACAGGAGCCAACAACTCTCTTTAATGTTGTCCCGTTAGGACGCCCCCGGTGCAAGCATCTTTCGCATCCTTTAGGAACCTCTCTGCCAACAACTGGTGGGGGAGAGAGCTGCGGACCAGCTGCCAAACATGACATTTGCTGGCGAGGGCCACTGAACCTCAGCAGGTGACATCTGTGGAACAGCCTTTCATCCCCCGTGCCTGGCAGTGGAAGGGTACCTGCGCGAGGCCCCGGAGAGGGAGAGATGAATGTGCTCCTTCTCTCTCCCCCAGCTGGGGCTCCGCGTAGCCACAGGGCCGGGGCGGCCCATGCTCCCCGGCTTCCAGAGGCAACATCTGCACCCAGTGTTGCCTTTGTCCCCATCAGCAACCGATAACATGTGGCCTTCCAGCGCAATTTAAACAGGGGCTGATCATTACAGGGATGAATAAATACTATCATCATGAGAGTTTATTGCTTCATATCAGCTGTTTGATCAAATATGTATAACCGAGCCAGGCGGCTATGAGACGAATATCAAGAGCTGCCCGATCGTGTGCTGCGATGGTGATTTGTAGGGAAAGTAGTTGGCAGCGGATCAGAAAAATATTTCATTTAACAGCCACTGACATGGACGAGGACGTTAAGAGCTAAATATCAAGGTGCTTTGCAGCTTGATGTCTGTTATGAAAAATGGCTCTTCGCAATGCCTTATAATGCACACTACCATGAGTCGTATTAAAGGCAAGTCAAGAAACATTTGTATAGCATATTATACAATACAGATTGTTTCAAAGCAGCTTCAAATTAGTAAACAGGAAAATAATGATCAATGATGGAAAATTCATCAGATTTAAGACAAATTCAAATGATCTGCAAAGAACGTCTACAGAAGACAATAGTGTCATTATGCAGCTCAAGTCAATTCAATGTTGATTCAATTCAGTTCAATAACAGTGTCAATGCACCAAAGTTAGTGTCATTGGTTATTAAAGTAGGGCTGCAACAAATTATTATTTTGATAATTAATACAATTAATCAATGATTATTTCACTGATTAATCAGTAGGCTTTGATTATCCAGCTTTTGCAATTAGTTCAAATATTGAGTTATACTACCTATTCTAACTAATAAATGTCTTTTAAATGAACTTCGAGTCAACTGAACAGACCATCAGACTCTCCTTCAGGTTTTTTGTCCTCCTCAGAAGTTATCAATAGTCCAACTGCTACAATGACTGGTATTGTGCTTTTATTAAGGCTGGGCATTGACACAAAATTCTATTCATAAGCTTGCAATTGGATTACGATATAGATTAAATATCAATTAATTTGGATATATACATGATAAGGTACAGTACAAGGAAAAAAAGTAGGAAAAAGGAAAAAACTTTTAAAAATGCTGTAAACTATACAGGGAAGGAACCCAGTCATTTGGTACATTACTATAATATTAAAGGTTAAAATAAACAACTGATTCAGATACAATTTCATATAATGCAGTTTTTATAATAATAAATAATAAAATAACTTTTTAATAGTAAAAATAAGAATATGTAATATGGTGTATATTTTAAAAAAAATACTTCTTAGTTAATTTTTCTAACTATCGAGTCATTGTCATTGAATGGCTTTCCTGAGGTAAAGATAAGATTAAACACTGATTGAGTGATTACATGAGACATGACTCATTTTAGTAAGTTGTAGGCCTACTGTATCTTTCAACATCTATTCTGATTCATGTTTATTTGGTGCTATAACCAGTAGAGAAGAGAAAGAGATGATCAGTTCACGTACTGCCTGAACTGAGTTGATATATTGATGTCTCACGATACATTAAACAGCGCCAAAATCACATTTATGTATTGCTCTTCTTCTGTTGAATTACATTCAGAAAGGCTGCATTACAGTATTGCGCTACAGCGCCCCACTGGTCAAACCACGTCGTTACAGCCCCGTATACTATTCGACAACAACAATATTTGTTGATTATGTCGTCTAATAGTTTTAGCCTTATATTAAAGACTACACCACAATCATGAAAATAAGTAATATAATTTATTAGCCTATATCAGTAGTCTGTCAATAGCTGCTAACCAACATAGCAAAATGGTGCATTAATATAGAATGCGTGGTGCATTTTATAATGGCCCTGAACATGTTATCACATAGGCTAAGTGTTACCAGAAATTGTAGGCTAATTTTGTTTGTGCATGTATAAGGGGGGAGGGGACGGGGGGGTTGGTCTGTAATCAGTAATCAATTAAAACAGGTCTAGCATCAATTGCACTTGCTTACATTCTGGTGCATTTGTCTTTGCTCAGCAACTTTAAATGAATGCTAATTACTCTGACACCGGTTGCACTTGCCCCGTGTCTCTGATGTCACTCAGTCTCCACGAGTTCCTGACAGCATTTCTTCCAAATGTGCTCGTAATTGGCAACCCATGGTGAACTGACACACACAATTAAATCCAATTCTCATCATGCAGCCTTTACATCGGGTCAAGTTTAGAAACCATTATACAAATTGAGGGCAGACATTTACTAAGCGTTTCATAGTCCTTGAGAGTCTTTGTCTGCATGGCATTTAGGTAATATGGCAATCTTTTTTTTTTTCTACAGTTTTTGAGTCAAATTGAATAATTATTGTGATGAGTGGATCTCACAAAAATATGACCAGGTCACACCAAAATAAAAAGGAAAAAATTATTACCCTTTAATATATAGGCCTATATTATTTTTTTTGCATTCAATTCTCCAATAAGATTTTTCGATGACAGTCAAACACATTTACCCTGTAAAATCACAAGTTGTGAATTTTTTTTTTTATTGATTGAAATCAGCATGAATTAAAGACAGCAACAAACACTACCACTACCACCATATAAGTATAATTGTTGTTTTGCATTACAATAATGGGAATTTAAAGAAAACTAATTGTCATGAAAATTCAGGTCACAAAATATTTTTTTTTTACTTCATATGACCAGAACATGAGGTAGGATTTTGTGAGAATAATCTATATAACTTATTAAAAATATTTAGGATAATCTATTTAAAAAAAGCAAACTTAACAGAACCTTTGTTTACAGTCACGAGGGCCATCTTGAGGTGCTGTGGTCAGATGGTGTTTGTGCAAACATGGGGTTGATGGGGCAGAGAGTGAACATGCTTCCCAAAGCTTTGCTTTCATCTTCATTTTCGGTTTTGACCCAGGTTAACGTCTCCTCGATGTTTCCACATAGGTGGGCCGCTGTACACCCGCAAGTGCCATGTTTAAAAAGGGCTTCTGCCTGCTGTTCCCCTTCCTCTGCCACCTCCCTGAGTGTGAACCTCAACGTGTTGGCTTGCAAACAAAGCTCAACATGAGGCGTGCTAGAAATGAAAGGAGGCAAAGGAGATGAAAAGAGCAGAGAAGAGAGGAGCGCTGCGCCCTCCAAGAGATCCACACATGTGCAGACTCTGTGCAGAAGGGTGAGATCGTCATGCTAAAGATAGTGGTGCTTTGACAGCTCCCAACATCTTGAGTTGAAGTGTGCCATGTGCCGAGTGTCTCTCAACTACTTCAGTCAGGTTTGCAGTCTTCCTTTCCAGTTTCATGCTGTCTGAAAAAAAAAAGAGAAATATACAATTTCATCATTCATTTTAAAGTGTCCGTGACCTCCTGTCTTTTACACAAAGACCTGGTGATACTCTTGCCAGTGTGATTTACTACCAGCTTCCAGAAGTCTGCTTTAAGGTGTCACAGGTTGCATATGAATAGGCCAGAACTATTGTCAGTAACACATCTTCCTACACATTTACAAATGCATAAACTATTAACTGAGGGCATGTAAATTGAATATAGTACATAGCATTTCCATCCAAATTTGCTTTCACACAGACGACCTGCCAAGAGGCTGTTAGTTTCTTGAGAGTGAAGGGCAAAGGATTAAAAACATTTCAAGAAAACCAAAAGGAAAAAAAAAACACGCATAACAGTAAACGAAAAATATAAAGGCGTGAAAAACAAGGCATAAAAACACATACATTCATGCCAGTGTCATGCAAATGTGTTATGAAGTGTTATGAAACATGCATAGCTACAGGTCAGTAGAATAAATGGATGTTGTGCTTGATATGTAAAGGTCAATGACTTTTTATTTGCATCTATTAATTTATTTATAACTTTATACAAGACCTTTACAGTGAAGCATTTTTTTAATTTCTGAATTTTGTTCAATCTTTTAACAAAACTGCTTCATTAATTATAAAATAAAATTGTCCACCAGATTAAAGTTATGTGGTGCAATGAACATGCAGAATAATAATAATAATAAATACAACAGGAAAATATGTCTTAGAGAGGACCCTCATGTCATCAAATTTCTTAAAATATTAGATAACTTGAAATCTTTATGACACGGCAAGATTAGTTCAGGTTGTAAAATGTGATGTGGTTTGACTACTCAAAACCGCAATGATAGCCTATTTATGACTTAATACTTCATGATATTAGTAAAAAGAAAATTACTTTGACAAATATATATATCTATATAGATATATAGATATTGTACTTCAAGCTCAGCCGCCATTTGACCCTCACTCGGCTCATGAGGGTCACGCATGAGAAGAGAGCAGCAGAGGCAGAACACTGTCTCCACTTTAAACAGCCTCTCACTCACAGAAGACAAACCAGCGCTAATCCACGCAGAGACAGGGCATGCACGGGGGAAATATGTGTGTGTGCCTATTATGTTACTACGACAGATCTTTATGTTCTCAGAGCTGGTGTCTCAGTCGATACTGGTAGTGGTGGAGAGGAGATGGAGGAGATATGTCTGGCGCCTCTGGGGAGAGACTGCAGACCTTTTTGGGGGGTTTTGTGCCGTGTGTTGAGGCAGGACCTTTGAGAGCGGGGTCCTAAGTACAAGTGAGAGGAACATACTCCACGGAGAACGTTTTGGCTGCAGTCCCTGTGAATCTGCCTGCTAAATGACTCTTGTTATTGTTAGCTAAATAGAGGATAGCACAGAGGATACCAGGAGTGAATGTAACATAGGAAGGCCGTCCAAAACACAGAGCAGACCCAGGTGAACATGGACAGAGCGTGTTTAATCAGCTCTTTAATGGAACTGTGACTTAAGAATGATAAACAAGCTGATGCAGTTTGTTAGAATTAAAATGATTAATGACAAATGAAACATGATAGTTCGTTTTGTTGCTTGCTGACGTTATAAATAATGCTCAAATGAAGGGTTTGGGATTTGAACAAACCCCTAAGCTTAAAGTCGGCATGAAATCAAAACTGACAAGTTTTATTTTTTATGGAATATTGCAGTATTTATTTATCTGTGCACATCATTATTATTTCTTCATGTTCCCTAATCTTTTTTAATCAAAATATCTTCCCCTCCCTCCGCAGTGACATCTCTTCTCTTCCCTGATGATGTGTTTACGGGCTGGACAACCTGTCACTCACATGACATCACAGCAATAGCAGCCATCCAATCAATTCCCCATGGACAAAATCAAGCCCCGCCCAACAGTTGTTCTTGTTGGAGAAGCCGTTTCACTCAGTCATACGTCACAATAGTGAAGAAAAGACTAATTGCTACTTTCCGTTTCATACCGCTTTTGTATTCAACTTTGGTGTATAACTATTCTTGCACTGTTTGTTTTACAGTCATGAATTATACCTTAAGTCATGCAGTTTGGGCCCTGTCCCAAATAGAAGTCCTCACAACTTTCTGCTGCGGAGCTCATGGACTCGGCAAAAGTGCGTATCGAGGGAGCATATCGGCCACAAAGGGGGTGCTCGCGAGCATCCTTCTGAAACCTAAAATGACAAATGGGACACCCTACGGTCTTGTGGACTTAACGGACATGCGGCGGCCATTGTAAGTTCACAAGACCACGAGCCTTGGGACAGGGCCTTGGCGAGGAGAGGTGTGCTATTACTTATGCAGGTGATTGGAAATATATATTTTTTTTTTTCTTGGCAGATGATAAGGTGGTCAAAACATTGCATTTACTTATATTGAAGGAGGAACACAAGTCATATCTGGGGACCAGAAGATCTAACACACTCTCATTGCCATTTGTTTTGGCAAATTGGTGGCTAATTCATAGAATTTGTATGATCTCATTCGTGCGTTTTGGTTTAGGCGTGGACCTTTATTCTTACAAAAATTTCCATAGAAATCACATCATACAAACTCATACAAAATCGACATCTTATGAAAGTCATTTTCTCAATAGATAGGGTTGGAAAATCATTATTTTTTGTAGGGCATTGCAACCGCATAGTGTCAGATTAAATGTTTTGAAAATTTTGAGGGTGATTTTACACTAGGCTTGTTTGCTGTGGTTCAAGCCTGGGCGTGATTGTTCCCATTTATTTAACTAAATACATCATAATCAGCTAAAACACATGCGGAGGTTACTTTACTTCCTGAACACGTGCGCACCCGAGTCCGTGTTGCTTTCACATTAACGAGAACCACATTAACCACCTCCTCCAGGTAGTCTCGGATTCGGGACAACAGTGCGACCCCGTGTCCGCATGACAGCGTTCACATTAGCGATTTTTCATGCGAACCGTGCCTAAACTCCAAGTGTGAAGCACCCTGAGATAAAAATTTTTATCTCCCTGTCATGATTTGATCTGGTTTCCAAGTTTGTTCCTTCCCTCAGCTACTGATTCTGTTCACCTGTTCTGTTAATTAGTTCTCCTTTTTTTTTTAAGCCCTGTGTTTCCAGAGATCATTGTTTGGGTTCGGCAATTCTTGGTTTGTCCTTACTCCTGAGTTTCCTGGTGTTTTCTGAGTTGGATTATTAAAGACTGTTTCCTCTAGTTCCTTGTCTTCGTACGCTAACTACTACCAAGAGTGACACGTAGCAAACTAAAAACTATTTAGAACATTTTAGAAACTGTATAAACTAGGGCTGTACGTTAAACGCGTTATTAACGGCGTTAACGCAAACCCATTTTAACGCGATTAATTTTTTTATCGCGCGATTAACGGTCTTTTTGGCCTAGCAAACTTTGTAGTTTTTTTCACATGCTTTTGCAACAGGACGCGAATGAAACCCATTCATTTCAATGGCTTGTGCCACGCGAGGACGTTTTGTTGCTTCGTCGACCAAAGCGCAAGCGCAGCGGCGCACACACCGCGGTAAAAAAAAATAGTTCAACTTTTGCCGCTGTGACGATTACTAGCGCAGCCAATAGAAACGTTTTGGCATCCAAAAAGTTTTGAAAACTGGCGGAGCGCCGCGCATTCCACGTCCTGTCTGAAAGCACCAGATCTACTTGTTGCGAGCCGGCCAAATAGTAGGTTAACGTTACGTTTTGAGTGGATGACGAGCGCGAAACGCCAAAATGGATGCCAATAAGATTCTGAATTGAAAGTTTACTTTTAAAAAGTTGCCAAATGGTCCTATTGACAAGACCAAAGTGATCTGTGTATTTTGTCGTTGTGAACTGAGCTATCATCATCGCAGCACGTCCAGTCTGAAATACCACTTGATAGCCAAGCGTACACACACACAGCTGATGCGAATTCTCCGCCCCCTCGTCAATATCAGGACCTCGTCAGTATTTCTTTCACCCTTTTATTGATGGACAGTGTTACATTGTGTGAGAGATTATTTGCTCCAAGTGAAAATGTTTTAGTGTGAAATTGAACACAGTATATGCCAATGTTGTTTTCAATAAAAAAAACATTTGCACAAAGCAAGCCGATCCACTTTTCCATGTTGATAAGAGCATTAAAATTAGAAAAAATAATGGGACAAAAAGAAATCAAGAGACATTTAGAATAGATAAAAATGTGCGATTAATCGAGAGTTAACTGTGACATTAATGCGATTAATCGCGATTAAATATTTTAATCGTTTGACAGCACTAGTATAAACGCAATATGCTATAGCACACGTATGTTTCCACTTCAACTGGTAATCTGTTGTTTACAAACATCTGATAATCATCTTTAAATAGGCAGTTTTAAATGTTGTTAAATCATAAACATTTTCCAAATGTCTATTTAACATCTGACAGGTAACGTCTTAGATATGTATTGCATATTCATCTTTCTGATGAAAACACACACATATAAAATAGTCTCTGATATACACTACCGTTCAAAAGTTTGGGGTCGGTACGATTTTAAATACTTTTAAAAGAATTCTCTTCTGCTAACCATGGCTGCGCTTATTTGATTAAAAATACAACAAAAATCAGTTATAGTATTAAATATTATTCCAGTGTAAATCAGCTGTTTTCTGTGTGAATATATAGTAAAGTGTAATTTATTCCTGTGATCAAAGCTGAATTTTCAGCATCACCAGTGTCAGTGTCTTCAGTGTCAAATGATCCTTCACAAATCAGTATAATATGAGGATTTGATGCTCAAGAAACATTTATTATTATTATCAATGTTGAAACAGTTGTTGGTCTGTCAGTTGTACAGTTTTTTTTTTTTTTTTAGGATTCTTTGATGAATAGGAAGTTCAAAAGACTTTTGTAACATTATAAATGTCTTTACTGTCACTTTCGATCAAATTAATTATTCCTTGATAAATAAAAGTATTGATTTCTTTCCTCCAAAAAATAAAAATAAAA